CTGGCGTAGAACCTTCTTCCTGTTCTCCCAATTTAATCGTTTGTGCAGTTAAGCGTGAATCGACATACGCAGTCGGATGTAACCTATGAAGGTTGTGTGTCGATGACTATTCCGGCGAGTAGGATATTTAGAGTAGAGGGGCTATTCTTCCCTCCTCATACGCCCTGGTCAGTGCTGCATTTAAAAGTTCATCCATCATTCTCATAATACCACCACCTTGGAATTCAAGTTAAGTGAATATCGTTTTCTTGCTGACTGCAAATGCGCCTGGATTTTTACGTTCTTTCTTGTCATATTTGTCAACAAATAAAAGCGAATTTATACGTGGAAGTGTTGTTATTGGGAATTCACTTTAATCCCATAAAACTTTTGATTCTGGTTTTCAGTTTAATTTTTGAGCAGGGCTGTACTAAGATTTTCCATATCCTCCTTAACGCCCGGAAGGACGGATTATGCTCTTCGAAAGTAAATGACGCTTTCAAACTATGAAAAATTGTGAAACTTCCACCTGGCTTTGGAATAATTTATAGGTCTCCTGGTATGATAGCAGTTAACTTCTGGCCCATCTTTTACTAAGTCAAAGAAAGATAAGTGTGTCGGTCACTATCTGAAAATCGTTTGATAAAACGTGTGGGAAGAGGCCAGATGTTATGATTAAAGGACGTTAGAATTGAGAATAGGATAAGCCACATTTCAGGCCTAGTTGTGGGGCTGTGCCCCATCTGTTGAGCAGCCAAAGAGTGCAGGTACTCCACTTAATATTGTACCAGCTGAAGTCATTAGGCATGACTTCATAGTTGAAGTAAAAAGAGGAGATACTTACAAAAATAACTCTTATGAGATTCACTTAGACAGTGCTAGAACTTGATGGACAAAATGAAGATCCGAACAAAGCCATACATTTTTCTTAGAATAACCTCTACGGATTCAGACAATGAGTGGTGTAAGACATCATTTGATGCTCCATGATTTTCACCGTTAATAAACCTAACTCAGCCTTTTCAACCTCTTTCATGTGTTCTGTGTGTAGGGAGGGACATTAAAATCTAGTAGTCAATCAGTCAATTCAGAACGTTACTGAGTTTTTATTATTAACAATGCAAGTGTATTTGGTTGCGAAGCTTACTGACAGCTCATAAGTACATACTAATTGACCATCAAGCCAATATTCACCGATCCCTTCTAGTAACAAGAGTTCGAGAGGAACTTCGGTCTTGGTGAGTAGGGATAAATAAATTGATCTCTCAGGGCAGAGTGTCTGAAGTGCAAGTGGATTCACAGATTTCTCTGATCTCTTCAGTCTTCGGTTAGTGTTAATCACAAATTCCATATTCGGCTCTGAGTGATCTCCAGTATGCTTATTGAAATTCTATGTTCTCTACCCAAAAGAATTTGTCGTCCTCAGTTATCCATCCAGTAGTAGCCAATTAAACCTCGAAATGCAGGGAAAAATCTAGTTGTAAGGGAAACGGTTGAATTGTAAATTGCTGTCTCTAAATGGACGTAGCATTAACTCACAATAACTGAACGAAGTCACTGCTCAGTGAGGAAAACTATCAAGTAGATTTACGTAGGCCTAAAACACACATACTCGTCCTTCATCAGTGGAAATTGAAATGCGGAGAGGGGTTATCATCCAGCACTGGAGACAATGAAACAGTCACTCATGGGTTGACATTATATGAAAGGCACTGAGCAGATGATAGAGGAGGAGTTGCAATTAGCAAAAGCCATGAAATCCGGCGAGGTTTAGTCCCCAGCACAACAGTGACTGAAAATTCTGAGCCATTCTAGTGTAAATTAAAATAGATTCCTGGATGCGGGAGTATGCCGATTCCCAATATGAGGGTTGAAGCACAGATAAATGTACGAAGTAAAGGTTATGGTTATAACCATGGAATCCTATAGGACGACTATTATTGCTGACTCAAACGCAACCTCATACATATACAGTGGTCTTTGATAGATAGCTACCAGCCTACGGAACAACTTAAGCATGACACGTTGAAAGGCCATGGACCATTCATTCAAACTAGACTACATTCTCATCAGTGATCACTTTATAATAGAGGATGTACAAGTAGAATAATCAAAGGGAGAAGTAACTACATGGTAGGTGTCCGACCTAGTTATTAAGGGATAGCTACAAATAAAATTGCCAGTAATTACTTATATGGCCACAAGATGACTCTCCAGAACTCAGAATACCACGTGGGCATAATATAACCAACCTAACTTCAGAGCAAATGACATTAAAAGACAAATAGAAAAGTCGAAATTTTTGTTGATCAACTGACAATAGAACAACATAGCAAAGTTAATGGTCCAGCAGTTTGAAAATCTAGCTCACACACAGTTGGTTGAAGTAAAAACAAAAATGTTTACGATTAAACGTCAATAGGATACATATCAATACTTTTGATAATACCAATCTTGTCTTCTGTCAACGGATAGACGTTAAAGTCCCACTCACAACGAAAATCGAACTGGTTCGAATAAACAAGGTTATCGGGTGTCCATATAATGTTCACCAACACCGACGAAAGCTGATTTCATATTCATGCAGGGAGCTATGGTTTTGGTATCTCGGCCTGAGGAGTACCAATCACTGATGGTTATGACCATTAGGAGTGAAGGATTTCACGAAGAAAGCTATCGATAACCTCACACTTATAATCATGATTTTTAAAGGGAACACACTGGCTGACAATAAAGGCAGCAATCAACTGAGGACTGAAGGAGGAGTTTGGAGCAAATGGAAACTCTAGTAGAGGGAATCAGACTATACCACATGTCTAGCCCGGTGAAATATGTGCAACATCGAAGTTCAGTAGATACGAGGGCATTTCAGACAAACCCTACCCTGGGAATCTGTACAGAATCATGGCAAAGAGGAAGGTTATTGGCCAGGAAGCCAGAGTGACAAACACCCTCTAAGTATAGAAACTTTAGTGACATATTTGAAAGACAGATGAACGGTAAGGATGAGAACAGCACAAGTTCACCTCCGGCAACACATGGTTTAGTCAGGCATCGTGGGTATTATTCTTCTACAAAGAACTCTGGGATTGGTCCCGTAGAAGCTGGCAAGTCTTCATCGGGACTAGTCCCCTGAACGTGGCATCAAGCCGCTAGTTCTCAGACATTTTTGTAAATCTCGGTGTGCCCCACTAAGTAAGCTGTCTGAACAATAATGAGGCAGAAAACGGAGACCACCTATCCTGTTCCCTTTTTTTGGGGGGAGATCCATGAAACCGAAAGTTCTACGGACCTGTCGCTTTACGGCCAATGACATTAAAGGTAATGGAGAGCCTCATGGTAACCACATGGGGGATATCTGAATGAACACAGCAAATCATACGAGGCTCCACATGAATTCATGAGGGGTTAACGCAGCGCTACCTATTTCCTGGCAGCTTGGAACAATTATGTGAGGTCCTAATGCTAGGATATACATGCTCGCCTATCGTTTGCAATCCTTCGAAAAGTCTCTGACCCTGTTTCACGAACTGCTACCCCAACACACCCACATGATGGGAATCAGAAGCACACCTCTATCCTGAAGTGGGGCCTACCCAGGGGGAGTTTGTGCGAGGATGGACCACAGATTACTAACATGAAGAATATTAAGTACCTAAACATCTGAGGGAATAATTCTTGATTCACTGTTATCCTTGATCTTCAGTTATAGTCTGTCGAAAAGCTTAAATTCTATGCGATCTCCTTGTACTGATAACTCAGAGTCGTGGAGGGGCATGGGAAAGGAGGAAGACTTGATCATGCCTCGCGAAGACCTGGTTAATTTGTAGAATTTAGCAAGAGATAAAGGGCTGTCTTTCAAAATCAACAGATATCGGGCAGTCTCCACGCACCACCAAAACAAAAAATCCTTAACAACTTACGTCGAACTAACATATTCTACACAAAGACATTAGGATGTCAGACTACTGCTGATGGCAAGGCCAAGGACAAGTACCAATTACGCCAGAGATACAGAAAAAAGCCGCCAGAGCTCTCTACTTCGTGTGCAGACGGATGAGCCCACTTCTACCTGAATTTTGCTGACTGTTGTGTAATACCTTATGGTCAAATTTAGAAATGCTTGACGTTATTTCACCACCACTCCCGATAAAGAGACTCTAATCTCATAGAAAACCGAAAACAGGTGAAACCGAGACCGTCATCGAGCTAAAATATTGGCGTCATAATGATTGACTATAAAACCTGGACCCATCCATGCTCAGCTATCACGTGTCTAGTCAGAGTGATAACAGAGTAGAAATAGTACACTGTCCAACTCACCCCGACAGAAAAAACTCACAGGCAGACCACCATGAAATCCTTCAAGGTACCACCAGCACAGTTACCCACCAGGAGTTAGAAACAAAGCAACAGTCCAGTATCTTCTTCCTAGTGTCTCTTTCACATGAGGCTCAAAGTCACCCGACCTGGCCATTACACCACTATTTAGTAGTAGAAGGCTATGGGAAAACGAAAGGTTTGCCCACATCATTTGATAAGCAATGCATTTCCTGGGAAGGGGTCGCAGTGGCAGTACAAAAATATCACCATTTTAATTGGTCTGCTTTATTATTTTATTGTGACTTATTTATTTTTCAGCTGTTAACATAGTCTAAGCTGTCCTATACTCAGTCCTCTTGCCCCAACTCCCCTTTGTTTTTCATCCTCTCGATGCCCTTTCTACCTTCTCAGTGCCTCTTTATGTGGAGTACCTTCTGGCTCGTCTGAAGAATTTTTAGGCGAGATTAAATTCACAATTTTTGGCAGTTTCAGTACTGTGGAAGAAACCATACCCTTCGTTAAAAGTATGCGGACATACACCTCCTTGCGTTCACCAGAGATGCAGTAGTTATCAGGGATAGGTTCCGTGTACTAAAATCTGTCAAATCTACAGCCATTCGGGACCAATAAGTAGCGAGTGCTAGGAAGACAAAAGTATCATGCAAACTAGGCAAAACAACAGTAAATACTGGGGGTGGATTGATTCATATTTTGGCTTATGTTTACCTGATTATCATTGAAGTGGTAGTGTTGCAGCAGATTTAAATTGCATTAACAGGGATCACGCAAAGTTAGCAACAAGTCAGTGTTCCCCATAACTACGTTAGTTTTTTTATTGAACTGTGTTTAAAGTAATTGAGACTTGGGTCACTGGACAGTTTAGCCGGGTAGTTGGACTTAGTGTGGTAACCACGATGGTACGTTTTCGGTTAGTAGGTAATATGACCTGTCTTTCAGGATCTTATGCTGCCAGAGAAATTTCAGCACATCCTTCGTGTGATGAACACGAATATTGATGGCCAACTGAAAATTATGTATGCCATTACGTCAATCAAAGGTGTTGGCCGACGCTATGCTAATGTTGTTTGCAAAAAAGCCGACATTGATCTGAATAAAAGAGCTGGAGAGCTTACTGAAGATGAAGTTGAGAAGCTTGTTACTGTCATGGCCAATCCTAGACAATACAAAATTCCCGACTGGTTTCTCAATAGACAGAAAGACATTGAAGATGGTAAACATTCCCAACTGATGTCTGGTGCATTGGAAACCAAACTCCGTGAAGATCTCGAACGTTTGAAGAGAATTAGGTCTCACCGTGGTATTCGTCACTACTGGGGGTACGTTTCTGTCGGTTTTCGTGTTTAAGTGGTATCATGTTGAATACTGCTTCATGCCTTTCATTACCGTGGGTACGATAATCTCCGTGAACTGAACATAAGGGAATTCGATTCTTATTTACTTTTGTGGTAATACCTAAAGCATCTGATGTCACTGAATGACAGTGTTTTCGTGACAAGACTTAATAACCGTGATACGTAAACTAGTTTTTAATGACTGGCATCTCTGGACTTGTTTTAATGCCGCAACATCTGATCTTCCGCAACCATGAGTTTCAGTATTTCCAGGTGTTCTCAGTCGTCTTTGAAGACAGTCTAGAGCTCGCTGGAGGTATTTCGTATTCGAGAGGTGTGAAGTGTTGGGAAGTTGCGTCAGCCTTAACGGGTTGATTGCTGACGATATGGAAAGCTCGTGTGGTACTTGCTGGTCTGCACCATCTCTGGCGCAAATGTTATGTCCGGTTATCTATCTAAGAACATGTATACTGCTCAGCAGTTCGCTCCGTCCTCCTGTATGGCTAAGACATGGCCATTGAAGTGGAAGACACGAAACGACTGGCTAGCTATCTTTGACCATAGGTGTCTGCGTTCTGTACCCTACGTGGTATAATTGGATGAGTGGTATTGTGGTTAGGTAAGAGGAGAAAGTCAATCAGTGAGGTTGTGAAGCCACATTAATTGAGATAACTGTGACATGTGTTACGCATGTCTAGCCATTGTCTTCCTCGATGGTCAACGTTAGCTGATGTATGATCAGGTTGGAATAGAGTTAATGGTGGTCAAAACAAAACATGGCATCAGTCAATGAGATCCATAAAAGTTGGTTTGCGTCAAGTCGGGAGGTGTAGATTGCCTGATTGAGGTCCTGCAAATATTGAGAACCAATGGTTTAAAGACAGCTGGTGATATAGCTCAAAATCGTTATAAGTGGCGCATGTGTATTCAGTCTCTTTGATCTGACATATAAAAAACCTATTGTCTTTCGATGTTACTATTGTTTTCCTGAACTTACAGTTCTCTTATGTCCTCTTTTGTGAGTGTCATCGAGTATAGCAGCTTCAACTGTTGGACTACCGTGCGAGGTTCTGTGTTGGAACTAGTCACTCAGGATTTCTTGCGAGAAATGTACAGCTCGTTTTTCCTTCACTACTTTGGCTTTCAGTATCCTCGCCGATGTGTTAGTTTTTCCTGATACATTTCACTTAACATAGCTTAAACGGAATATCAATACATCTTGGTTTTAAGCGTGAAGTGTAGCTTTTTTTGTTTAGGGTTAGTCACATGGTTTTAGACCATGCATTTACGCGATTTATCGAGTGTCGCTGGGTCTTCTCACCTACTTGATTCTGTTGTGTGCGAGTGACGACTGAAGTTACTAGATGCCTATTGCGTGGATTATTTTCTGTCAATTCTTATTTTACATAGGTGGTGGTCAAACATTATTTCGGTGACTTTCTGTATCAGTTTCAATACAAAAGTTGGGTGCACATCTTATAAAGACTGCATTCATCATTCTTGTTGTCCATTTGCAGGTGGAAGATAATGTTTCTTTATTTTATTTTTGAACCTCACTTGTTTTTGTTATGAATAATTTTTTGAATATATTTGTTTTCAGATTACGAGTTCGCGGTCAGCATACTAAGACAACTGGGCGACGTGGTCGCACTGTTGGTGTATCAAGAAAGAAATAATTGCTAAATACACTGTTACTGGGACTGTCGTTTTCTGTTATTCACTAGTACTGTGTGATATTGAAATAGTCTCCTCTGCCATGAGAGATAGCGTCAATGTTGTCGTCTTCATTTTTATTGGTTGGTTATTGATCATGTGTTACTAGTGGCAGCAGCTAGTTTCCGCTGATATACTTAGCTATTGTTCATTGCTGCTGGAGTCGAATTTCTATTGTATCGACATAGGCAATAGTTTTTCACGTGTAGTGTGTGATAGCTAAGTGACTGTACCTAGAGTTTCCTACGTTTGCAGGTTTTCCCCATGTCCCAGTGTTAAGATAGAACATTAAAATAATGTGGAATCCTATTATGATATCCATTTTGGGAGTGCTTTTCTCTCCGTGTGGTTTGTGTTACAGTCGAAGTGAACTGAAGAAAAAATATAGGATTAAACATATATATAGGTCGTTATTCTCTTACATAATTGTCATATTTGTCTAGTAGCTAACTGGAATAGCATATAGCGAACCATGTTTGTCTTTTATGGGAAAACTTTTCCGCATACTTAAGCACTTTTGGTCGATCGACAGAGAATTCTCTTTTGTTTCTATTTCCTTTTCTAGCAACGCTCGACTCTTCTGTAGTCGAGCTAATGTTAAGCAAGCATTTCTTCGTTCGTTTTTCAGTTCTTCAATTGTTTTCCTAAGTTCCAGAACTTCCGTCTGAAGGCTGCAAAAGAAAAAAGAACTTAATTAGGACTGTATTTAGATGATCACTTCTAATCGACAGGTTACTGTAAGAAGTGTTCCTAACTGGCTTACCTGTACCTCATGGATATTCACTATGTATGGTTTTAGGTTTTTCGTCTTTCCTAATGTTTGTCATAATTAGTTTCTATGTTGACTGGAGTGAGGAATCTACTTTGAAAGGTGGTTTCGTATTGGGAACATAATATAACTATTAAGCTCAACAGTTAAGTTCTAGAACTCATCCAGGGTAGGATACTTTGATTTCTTCATCCCATACCCGTAACATTGGCTTTCATCATGCAAAGGCTGTGAGTCACATTGGTGATTAACACACTGTAAAGTAAACATGGTTGAAATGAGTGTATTGACCCAGTGTCTCTGGTGCCTAGTGTGACTTCGGTCAGATGCATTCCGCCAATACTCCATTCAAAGTTACAGTTTAATTAACGTGTATTAGTCTGCGTCATCGGAAACTACATGTATTTTTCTGGCATTGCGATTAAATGCACTTATACAATATCGAGTTACTCTATCTGAAACATTTGTTTGAGTATTTGTGTCCCACTGTAATACAGTTTTCTTGGGAAGGCAGTGTTGTTAAATGAACAAATAATTGCCAGAGCAAACAGACAGGTTGGCAATGTATCTGGCTTTATGTCGTGTTTCTGAGGATTGTGTTGACTTTTGATGTGTTAACTAGTCTTAGAGTTAACTGTACTGTATGTTTCAACTGAGTGATAGGGACGAGCAAGTTGAACTGCTGCATCAGTGAAGCCTATGAACGCATAAACCAGATATGTGTCTCAGTAAATATATTGGCAGAACTCGTCTCACATGTAGCTAATCTTTGTATTACGTAGCTGGATTAATCAGAGTTAGTGCATCAGGTGGTAACTTAATGCTCTCTCATGGTCAGATACCAATAGAATGGAAATAGATATTGTGTTTATTCAAGTTTACAAGCCAAGTATTTTATGCTCTGTCCTACCTGATTGCACCAAGGCATGAGACTATGTGTGTGTACATCGCTTGAATTTATTGCTTTGGTTCATTCTGGGTGGTGCAAAGCTTGCAATTAATGATTACAATTTACATCAAGGGTTGAGAAACTATAATTTTTGTGGAATTTCGATCTCTATGAGCGTCATTGTGTGCTCAGCTATGTTAGTCAATACGCGATGACTAGCAGCAGGATCTAGGACGAACATCAAATGAGACTTGCTTGAGGCATGTGAGCTTGGAATACCTACATGGTTTTCTGACTGGGACTTGAACACACCACCCATTATTTCATACACTACTGGGCTGCTGAACTACAGGAAACTTATGAATTTCCCTTTTGTTTTTAGTGAACCGGAATTACTGATCTCTGTTGTCATACAGCTTATTGAAAAGGTTCCAGCTTAATTAGTTTGGGAGAGTTTGGAACTCTCTCCCTGTAACTCACTGGTGACCACCATATATCAGAGCACAAGTACAAATCAATGACAATGAGGGGTCCGTTATAGGTTCCTAAATAACCACCTAGACTAGTCATATAAGTTCATTTTCAATGAACGGGAATCAGTAAGTTTCAATAGATATCCTTTATCCTGCTTCAACAAAGCAAATACTTGTAGTTTATTTCCGCATACTTATTAACTCACGTTTTCATTGGCTGGTCATAGCAACTTTCAACGTTTATTCTTCTAGTTCTTTCTTTCAATCTCGTTTGTGCAACTTTTAGCGGCTTCATTTTATCATCTGTGGTTTTCTTAATTGCATCTATTAAGTTTTCCACTTCATATAATTCTTGGGTAACCTAATGAGCATTTCACAATTAAAAAAAAATTGGAAGAAGAATTACTTTTCTCAAGGATAAACGGAGATCATCTCTTGCACTGGCTACCTCCGTAATTCGAGTTTGGAGTGCATTGTTTACACTGACAAATTGACTGTGTACGTTTCCAATGACACTTCTTAATGTAGTGTCTATTTTCTCACGTAGGTTTTCAGATGCATTACGTTGATTTTGTGATCGAATTAAATTCTCTTGAGTATATTTCATCCATGAAGTAGGGTTACTCCGACTGAAAAATAAGTTACATATTGAGTAAAAATAATTCTGGCTGTTAGTGTTATTCTACTTATAACGTGTATGAGTAGTCTAGCTTAATTTAGAAAAAAATTTATACATTGTTTATTGTTTTTTATATTATGCTCACCTCTGGATAAGATTATATGGGGAAAATTTCAGCAGGGTATATGAGATATTAAGCAAATGAAAATTTTGTCTTAATAAGTACAGTAATTCTTCTTAGTTCCTTAAGTCATTATAAAAGCAGGAATTATAAATGCATAGTGAATAGTCTTGATGCTCACTAAGTTCGAAGTGCTCACTTTCCATATGAAAGGAATAAGACGTGCATACTATTTTCTCAATTATTTCTATTCTATTAGTTAAGCTGACGATTCACGAAGTACTCCAAGAAAGAACTGGTCTACCCCATTATTCCTCAATTGTGACTTAAGTTTTGTATTGACGCAGGCATTTTTTTGAAGTAGTCGGTGATATTTTTAGAAGTTATCCAGTATATATTATTAGGTATTTGGAGTTTCATATGACATAGCTAATTCTTACCCTTCACAGGAGTCTTCGAGTGAATATGCTTCTATGGCACACGTTATTGACAGAGTTTGAGTTGAAGTTGACTCAATCAATGGGAATAAAAAAAATGTCTCGTATCCTTACGTGAAGAATGATCATATAGTACTGAGTACAGTGACCACCTCTGTTATATGATTCATTGATTTGCACTATTTGTGTACTTATATCCTAACTGTAACTTTATATTATTAGACAATTTACACTATAAATTATGTATAAATATCAAGACAGTTTCCTCTGTTACTTTTTGTAGAAAACTTCTTGAAGTCTGCAGGGATTAGATTGACTTCTAGTTTGATCATGAGCTGACAGTGAGAGAACCATTCATAACTAGGGAGGAATGGACAGCTATTTCGTCCTTGTTTGGAGCTCTTCATCGGCACACATCCATGATTTCACCAAGGATTGAACAGCATAAATTTTAAGTTAGTCTTTTAATGGAAAACATTAATATTAAAAAAGTTCTAAGCATAGTTCAGAATGATTTGATTTACTGTTGAAAATTGAGAAGCTCTGGTCAAATATTTGCTAACAGTGGTAAACGGTTCTCTAGTCATTTATATTGGTCTGTTTATGAACCATTTCTAACAACTGTTTTACCTGAATGTTTATACTTTGAAAGGTGAAATTAGATTAGTGAAAGCATACGCATTGATGAACTATATCATCACATCTATTCAGTATTTATTTGCTGAAAATTCCATTAGAATACTGAGTGTTGTTTAAAAGTATTGTTGTGTCGATCGATAAGCATAGTTTGATTTGAGGGAGTAAAGTTATCGTCATAGATTGTCAGTATGATAACTTAAGCATGATTCGTTATCTTTACCAATTTATCGATTTGGCAACGTAGAAATTACTTCATGCCGAAGGACTATGGTCAGGTTATTGTAGATAAGCTGAAATTTTCGAAATTTTGGTTTAATATTGCTTTGATAAAGCTATGAGCAATAAATAGAGAAACATCAGTGAAAACAGTACCGTTTTGCCTTCCATTCATTGAGAAATACAGGAATATTTTATAGTAACGGATATTCACTTGTTGAAAAATGGAATTCAGTCGAATACTACTGGGTTTGCAGCGATTTGTCTGATTTCAGTTAAGAATTGTATAATGAATCGGTATCAGTTAGTGAATCAGGGAAAAAATAAAGCATGGGAAAATTATTTAAATCCTGCTTTGGGACTGCGGGTAGGCGTGTTCATCACTCACCCACTGGGTCTACTCGTGAATTCTAACTTCTCTCAAATTCACCATACGGCGTCACTTAAGTGACACCTTTTTCAAGCCATCTGGGTTTTCATATAGCGGAAGAATTCGTTATCATGTGCAAAGGATAAGTATATATATACCGTTTCTTTTCAACAGCTAAGTATAAAGCATTTAGTGGACTTCATTCTCTAAGAAATATTCATACCTGTCAAATAAACAAGCGGTATTTAGTTTTACTTTAAATCTTACTAGTAATGGTTAGTATTATTCGATATCTGAGTAATTTATTATAATATGAATGAAAGCAAACTTACGTGTTGTCTATATATTCAATTCCATCGTAAAGAGCAATATTTGCTGATGAATTACACAGACCAAATAAGTGATCATCAATTTTATGAGCATGATCTTTATCATTAGCATCTTTTTGTAGCTCATTTTGTGTTGAACGTAAAAGTCTGCAGAAACAAAGATTTTAAAATCAGTTTTACTGTTAGTGTTATGATCTCTTTACCAAGATTCACCTCGCAAATTAATCTATCACAATTCGTGAATCAAGCT